CTTGTCAACACAATATTCTATATTTAGTGTGTTCCACAAGTTCCCTGAAAAAAAACCTTTGACAGTACATTATGTTGTACTGTAATATTAAATCTGTGGATACCAGCAGGACTTGCTGATTGAATTTTATCAGGAAATGCTAGGGAAGTTCTGATAGAAATGTTGTTGTTGTTGTTGTTGTTGTTATGTGCCGTCGAGTCGGCCCCGACTCATAGCGACCCCTCCTTGGGTTTCCAAGGCAGTATCACTACGGAAGTAGGATTGCCCAACCTTCCTTCCGAGATAGAAATAGGAGGCACTATTAATGTTTTCATCCCCTTCCTGATGGATAGGTAATGCTGACTTCTTTAGAGAAGAATCCAAGGCATGGGCAAGATTTGCCATCTCTGCAACCGGGAAAGGACAAAAACCAAGGGTAAAATGATGGAAAAGACCAACTCAGTCAGGAACTTTCTAAATTGATCTAGCTTTTAGGAATATTTATTCTACCCAAACTCATGATTTAATTATAGTTCTCTAGCTGGACAAAATTATGTTAAAAAAAATTCTTCTTAAGATCTGCTGTTAAAACAGTTTTAAAAGGCAGATCTGATACAGCTGAGTTTGAATGCAGGTCTTTGGGAACCATACTTAGGATTTATTATTGCATCTAGGAATTTTAAACAATACTCACTTTAATACACCAACAATCTAGACCAGTAAAGCAAAATTTTCCCCTGAATATATCACAAACTGCATTGGGATGGAGGAGGAGTAACTAATATGACTGCCTGAATTTTCTTTGCAGCAAGAATCCCCTGGTTTTTTTTGTTTTAACATTCCTCCTGTTGAGGAGACAAATCAGCCCCACTTTGGCCACTAAACAGAGGCTCTTTGTGGAAACAGAAAACAACTAGAAAGAAAAGTTTAAAATTGATTTTTCATGAAAGTTTAAATTAAAATTTTTAAATATCTGATTTCATCTAAATTTTCATTTGACAGACTCATTCATTGTTCATTTGTTCATTCATTCATTCAAACATACTTATTTACTGAGTGCCTACTATGCACCACACATTATATTAGGTATCAGGGATAAAACAGAAAAAAAAAAAAACAGAGAAAAATCTCGGCCCTCACAAGGCTTATTACATGTGAGAAAAGTAAGGCCCCCAAAAGATCCAAGTCTTGGGATATACTTCTTTCTCCTCCTACTCTTAAGAATGGAACTAAGCAGTTTTAATCCACAAGCTCATCCTTCTACCACAGAGCTGATGTGCAGACAGGTATTACCCTGCCATGCCTTGAAGCCCAAATATCTCCCTAGGGTTTTTTTTGAGAGTCATCTTCTGTCTGTTAGACATCTTCAGCTGGAATTTATTGCTAATATTTCAAACTCAAGATGCTGAAAGTCAAACTCTAAACAATCCATAACCCCAACATTCCGATCTCTAGGAACAGTATTAACTGCCTCCACTTATGTAGGCCCAAAATCAAAGCAATAGTTTTGAATCATACTTCTCCTTCCATCTGACAGATATGTGGGCAGCCAGTTCTTGTATATCATATTCCTACTTCACTTTTCAATTCTATTTCATTCTCATTGTCACTATTTCAAGGCCCATCCCTTTACCTCTCATAAGAATCCAGTGACTTCTTATTGGTCTTCATGCTGGCTGCCAGGCTGCTACTACCACCTATGCCAAAAAATCTCTAAAGCAAAGTTTTCATCACACCACTCTCCTGTTCAAAAGCCTTTAGTCCATATTCCCTAGACAAATTACCAATTCTCAAGCCTAGCACTCTAGGAGATCCATCAAATGACTCCAACCCATTTTCCGTCTTATCTCCTAGGACACCTTTATTTATACAACATATTCTAGTGAAATACGGCTTGATATAACATTTGCTGTAGTTCATGTAAGCATTCTTTCTGTTTAGAAGGTTTCCTCCTTCTCTACTCCATTCTTCCAAGGGTATTTCAAACGTAGCCTCTTCATGAAGCTCTTTGTCATGCTCACACTAAACAAAATTCTTCCTTCTTTCAATCCCTGATGATAATAATTTACAATCTAAATCTAGGCTGCTTACCCATTCTACTTATACTACAGCTCTCTGGCTATTTGCCTTATCTGCTTATCAGTTCTTCGAGGACAAGGACTCTTTTACTTATCTTGGTATCCCCAGGACATATTTCCAATTTACTGAGTCAAAGTTGTGGAGAAAAGGTTAGCTATCCTTAAAAGTAAAGTCAATCTCTTAATTTCCAGGCAGGAAGGAGAGATTTTATTTTCCTCTTTATTGCTGACTTCAAACTTGAAAAGAATTAATCTAAAAAAATCATACTGATCTCAATCCCTATAGTCATAAAGGGGCATACTTGGCTTTAACTGTTCTTTAAAAAAAAAAAAAAAAAAAAAAACAGGATAAGAAAACCCTGAAGATGGGACAAAAAGCAATGAGACCACAGACTAAAATACTGCACAAAGGTTGACAGACACTAGAAATCCATTTAACCAGCACAGAGAGAATTCTACCAATCAACTATTCAGGATCCTGCTAAAAAGGATTGTAAAAATCCCATTAATAGTATATTAAAAACCTTAAAAGGAAAAAGAGAGATTTTTTTCAAGATTCAACTTTTTAAGCAGAAGCGTATTGTCTTGAAGATGACATTTTCCTAAATAATTACACGTATTAGTCAAGTGACCTTTCATTTAAAAGTACATTAAAATTCATTGCACTTCAACCAAGTTCTCATTTTTACCCTGCCAATCCAGGTTTTCAACTATTACTTTTCTCCATACTTCTAAAATTCATTCAAAACAACAGCACTGATTATGTATTCAACAAAGACAAGAGAAATAAATTACTGATTTTTTTTCTTGAAAGAAAAACATATTTTAGTTCTAAGATATTCTAAAAATATGAATGGGCATAAATATTGTTTGTGATTTCACTGACAAATTACCTAAGCTTTTCCTTTCCGCCTTTTCTATTAAAATAATTTTTCTATTATAAGTAATAAGACCTTATTATATAATATTTTGGGAGAAAACTATCCATAATTCCACCACGTCCAACATCACCTGCTAATACATTAGCATTATTTCCTTCTGGAGATTTTCTCACTTTATCTTCCCCTAAGGGGAAATCATGAAGGAGCTCTGATGACATGGTGTCTAAAGCATCTGATTGCTAACCAGAGGGTTGGCGGTTCAAACCCACCACCTGTTCCGTGGAAGGAAAATGGGGCAATCTACTTCCATAAAGATTTACTGCCTCTGAAACCCAAAGTGGGTCACTATGAGTCAGAATTAACTTGATGACAGTGACTTTGGTTTTGAAGGGGAAATCAAGAGGCATTTATAGCTTTGTATTCTGATTTTACTTTTGCATCAACAGTTTCAGGTTGCTACAAGTCTTCCTAAACATTATTTTAAGTGGCTACACATATTCCACTGAATCAATGTATCATAATTTAGTTTATTTATTATAACCCAGCTTATTCAATAAAGATTTGAGACAGATATATAACCATTTTTATAACTGGATAGGTGGGTCATTTCTAACCTTTTGCTTTGTATAACACTGCAACAATTTTACACACATAACTTGATCTGCATTTTGTATTGTTTTATTATGATTGATTTTAAGAAGTAAGATTATTCTATCAGAGAAGAATCATATTGTCAAATTACTTTCTATACAATGTGTACCAATCTGCAAAGTCAACAGCAATGTATGAGAGTGTCATTTTACCCAGGCAGGTATTAGCCTTTTAAAAAGGGGTTGGATGCAGAGAAAGAACAAGTCCAGAAAATTATCAGCAAATTAGCCAACTACTTTGATTAAAGCATGCAACTATGGACCCAATTAGCATTAAGAGTTTGCTAAAAAGCCCCATCCTTTTGCCCACCCACTCTCTCTTTTATTCACTCCATAATTTGTAAATACATAGCTTTCTTTCCTTTACACGTTTTTTCCTTACCCACCAAGCCACACATTTTCCCAAGAGGTCAAAAGTACGTACTTATTGGTGAATCTATCAGGATTAGTGTATGTACTTTATTTTTTGTGTTTATGTGTACACATACACACATATGTATACATACGTACATGTGTATACCTCTTTATACTACTCTTAACCTATATGCATCTCAGATGATATGTGTTTTTACATTAATTGTAAAAATATCTGTTAATAAAAATAAGTGAGGTCGGGGTGTGGGCTCAAGCTAATCTTAGAGGTAACAATGATCATTTTTTAAAAAGTTGTTTATTCTTATTTAATTCTCTATTGGGGTCCCAGGTTTTCTCTTAGCCATACATGTGGCATGAAGATAAAAATACTTTGTCATATTTACTTTCTAATTAGTTGAATCTTTTTTTGACATTATCAAATGTGTAGTATTTTTTTTTTCCTATCCTCTGTCTCCAGGCCGAGAGATGCTCCTCATCCAGACCACTAGTTTCCCAAACAAGGAATACTGAAGGAAGACATGGCCTTCTCTTCAGGTCCATCTGAGTTCCTGGCCAGCTCTAGAATTAACCTAGAATTAACAAGGGGTGAGCTTGGAGATTCTGATTCTTGCCCAGGTTAGCTATAAGTCTAAATTACCCATCCTACTTAACCAGCAAGGATGAACCAGAATTGTTGACAGCTCCAGATTAGACTGTAAATGAGACCTCAATTGGGCTACCCATTGGTCCTATACATCCAGCAGTTTCTAGAGGCCTGTGGAAGATTGCCTCAGAGATAGCCCCACCTTCAGGTAACCAACTCCCACAGGACCAGATATTCTAGTGTGGATTCTTCATATTAGGTACCTGGCCACATTCTCAGTGCTATTATCTATGCCCTAAGGGATGCTAGAATATTAGATCACATAAGTGATAAACGGTAGGCATTTTGTCTTTCATTTCAGAATATATACTTACACAGAAAAGCTGAAGAATTTGGGTTTTAATAATAGCCATGAAGAGGAGGAATGTCTGAAAGATTGAGGACTAACGCATACCTGATTTCGAAGAGGCTGCTGTTGTGACGGCCGATCCCTGTGTGTGTGGCTTTCTCGAGTTATTGCAGATGCACCAGAATCTACATGAACTGACCCTACTGGAGTAGGCTAGGAAAAATAAAACACAAAGTCAAACAGGAAAAATGGGTGCAACAAGATGCCTCTGCAAAGGATATCATCATTCTAATTCTAATAGACTGGTAGTAATTATTATTTTCAGCTACCAAGGGTAGTTTGAAGTTTTCTTGACTTCTCAGTTTGCTCATCAGCAAAAGGGAGACAGCTTGGTCCTCAATAGTTCATTGAAGAGTAGCTTACTTTTGAAAATAAGAAATCATCCTAGAGTGGTATCTGTTAGCATGCTCTCAGACCATGTGGACCCTTGGCCAGATCAGCAAATCCAAAAGTTCCCTATGGTGATGGGTTCCTCTCCCAAAGAAATCAAGTACATTAACAGCTTATGTGGCACCAACTTATGAATTATACAAATGAATTTTCTTCTAAAATACTGATTTTAATTCTAGTATCTTAGAATATACAGGCTACAATCTCAAAAAATATGTAAAGGAGTTACTTCTATATCCTAACTCAAATGAGAGCAACCTATAGCATCAGTCTGAAAAGGTTATGTAAATTATGACTACAGTCAAAAGAATGTTTCTTTTTTTTGCTAGATTTAAGCAGAATGACTAGCAATTAAAGGATGGGGCAATGCTGATCAGAGAAATGAGGTGACAAAGTAAAACAAGGATACTTACAATCGGCCTCCCAACCCAATCATAGGCATAGTCAAAGGTGTAGCCTTTCGTTTCAAAGAGGTCTGTGAAGAGGTTCCGTAAATACTCATAGTCAGGTTTTTCAAAGAAGTCTAATCGCCTCACATATCGAAGGTAGGTTGCCATCTCCTCTGTTAGGAAAGAGATGAAAGGCCATGCTTATTAGCTGAATGCTTCCCACTGGAGGAAGCTCTGGACCAAGCAAGAGATACTACTGTAGACTATATGACAATGATGCTTCTTTTATGGGCCAAATGATGAAAAACTATCTTGGTCTAAATAATAAAAGGAAACATGAATTAGCTGAACAGGACCATTATCTGGAAACACCAAATCACTGTCTCTACTACTTCAAAGCTTCAATCACATTGGCTAAAGCATCCCTTGAACATCCTACCTGGAAAGTTCTCACAGAGAGCTTCAATTGGAGTATTTCTTTTGGTGTCACCAATCTTTTGATATCTCTCTTTTAATGTATCAGCCTGCAGAGAATGATGGAAAGAGAACGTTATTTGGAAACAGGTGCTAAGCATAGGAGGTTCAGTATGTTTGGGGACTCAATGGTTGCTTCACTCAAATTGACAGGATTTATTAGTCAGTCTCAATTTTTTTTTCCTAACGCTAACAAATAAGAAATGTACTAGAAATTATAATGATTTAGATATGTACAAAACATCTGCTGTGTCCCGAAAAACTTTACTTGCAAATATATTTAACAGTTTGAGGTAAACAGCATCAAATTTACTGAGATAAGTAGCTAGAGTAAGAAAATAAAAATATTATATAGCAATATTTTCAAAATTGCAAAAGTTTAGTAATCTCCCATTGCCACTGGAGTTTAATTGTGATTCAACCTTGCCCCTTAGAACAGTTCTAGGATAAGACTAAAAGTGTTGCTACTCCAAGTGGGGGCAGGAATACAGATGGCTCTACTACATATTTATTGAGATACTGACTGGAAAAGAACAGAAAATGAAAAAAAAAAATCCTTTTGATAAATGTGCTTCTGGAGGGAATAAAATGTGATTTATATGATAATGATAAACTACATGAGAATAAGATAATGATAAATTATAATGATAAATATGATTTATGCATGTCTAACAGACAAGTTTAATGTATGTCAGTGGATCAAAGCAGCTCTAGTCTGGTATGCTCAGGACTGTGGAAAGAGGGCGCCTGGACAACAGTGGGTTCTGAATAAACTCAAGAGGCTCTATCTAGCACGCTGTGCTCAGCTTTAAGAATACTGTTCTGAGGTAAGCCAGAAAAATTTTAGATCTATAACTACCACTACAATGACTCATGGACTGTGAAAAATTTACAAGGAAAATTCAGAAAGTTAATAACATATGAATTAGTTATTTGGCTGTATGATGAGTAAGTAGGATGGGAAACTATATTTGAAAGCTGTCGATATCAATGGGAAGCTATATATGATTAGAAGACAATGGTGGCAATATTAGGAGGGGAATTTGAGGGAAAGAAATAAAGTCATCCCAGAGGGAAAGAGCAGAAGTCTTACTTTTCAAGACAATGTTCTATAAAGCACAGCAAAATGAATCATTCTGCTCTTCTGAAGGGAGAGCATATAGAAGTACCCCAAACTACTGATTATATTTCTTTCTTTCTTTCGGATTCCATTTTCTATATTAACATGTTGAAATAAATCTGAGCTGAAAAATAAGTCTTACTTTTACCTTTCTAAAGGGATTTCAGGTGAGAAGTTTATCATTTTCTAGTCTAACAGCCTGAGCACAGAGTAATTATAATGCTTATAATTATAATAATTAGTAGTTAATTTTGACATGAAGGCACTATACTGACACCTACCTAAGGAAGGCTATTTAAAAGCTACACACTTCACAAGGAATGGCTATTGTGTGAATAGATATTTATTCAATAATACACTTGAAAAGCAGTGTTAAGCCTGGATTTTCCTTTTATTTCAGGTGGGCTTTTAGCCTACATAAGATGAACAAATATTTCCTAGTCCCCCCCCCCCCCAGAGGCAACCAGAACCCTGCTGGCCTTGCTGGTAAAATGCATAGCAGCTGCTGTCAACAATTTGTTCCAGAAATTCCCTGACACACTGGGAACACTTCTTCTGCTACATAATGGTAGTGGGGGAAAAATACTGAGAGAGAGAAGCAGCACTGGCAAGGCTAGCGGGGAATGAGGGAAAAGATGACAAGGAATAAAGGATTAAGAAAGAAGACAAATGTGAGCAAAACAGAGCTTCTAAGGCCAAGGCCCTCCTTCTCATCTCTATAGCCAATCTTCCTCTTTGTGCTTCTCACAGGCATCAAGTCAGCAGCCCCTTCATTAACAACTGAGCACTGAAACAAAGCCCTCCACTGAGCACTTTCAAGGATACCTTGAGTCCTTGCCAGGGTAGGCTGCCTCGAAGGAAATACATGAACATATGGCCTAGGGCTTCCAAATCATCCCGCCGGCTTTGCTCTAAAAGAGAAGACATATCACACATTATGTTTGCAGTTATTAAAGCAGAAAAGGGGTTCAAAACCAAGCAACCCCTTCAGAAACCCTTCTGCTCTGGAAAGGTTCTGTTTATCAATTCTTCAGATATCTAACTCACTCACTCACCGCCGTCAACTAGAACCCTACTCTTAGCTACCCCTCCTTGGGTTTCTGAGGCAGTATCACTACAGAAGCAGATTGTCCAACCTTCCTTCCGAGGAGTGGCTGGTAGGTTTGAACCGCCAGCCTTCTGGTTAGCAGTCAAATACTTTAGGCACTATGCCACCAGAGCTCCTGTATATCTAACTAGGGTTAGGAACAGTATTTTAGATCAAAACGAAGAACAATATGTACTTCCTCTGCCTAGATCTGCAACTGGCAGGTAAATGTCAAGTGAAAAGAGGAAATCCTAAAACCAAGCCCAAATCACGGAATGGTAGAATGGTAAGCAACCACCTCTCACCCAATGCTGTGACCTTCCTGAAAATGAAATAATTTGAATGAAATGTTATTTCCAGTACATGGTACATTTACCCTTTGGTTACTATCAAGGAAGTGACCAGCAGAAGCTATTACAACAGTCCCTTCTGGCTAGCTCTGCAAAGATACAAGCTCAGGATGCCTAATATACATGCTCAATGCTTTTTATTCATCGTAAAAATTAACAATTAAAATTCAGTTTCATACAGGCAAAGAGTAATGCACAATCCCTTGGCCTCCATTCCATTTGTATCATGTCTATAAGCATCTTAAGAAAAATTTAAAATGTATTACTAAGGTGCCTTCTATGGGCACATAAAACAGAGTTCCTGCATTCTGTGAGCTTATGATCTAAAACCAGTTGCAGGGATTTCCTTTACAGCTGGGAAGATAAAGATGGCAAAGGACTGCAGAACAGTTAATAAAATTTCATTTGTTAATTGCAATTTCATTTCAGAAAATATCCTATATATTCTTTGGTTGTCAGACTGAATATAAGCAGAACATGCTTCAAGTTCTAATTCGCCACTTTTGGTTCATCTTAGATATTTATGTTTGCTTTTCAAAATCAAGCTCAGGGCCTTAAAAAGAAACTACAGAAGCAAGACAAGGGGCTAGCTTAAACTTAATTGTGCCTGCTTTGTGCAGAAAGTAAAGCCCAATAACCAGGTAGGCAGGAAAGTCATTTAGCTAATTCAAAATACAGAGGCACTACATGTTTAACTGCTGCCTGCAATTATGGAAAATTTGCATGAAAAAGAGTGAACAGTAGTCTACAGGGCAGATGCAGAAAGAAAACTCAACTTTCTAACTAGTAATCTGAAGATTTTGGAAAAGTCACTGATGGGGTGGGGGGCAGCCCTGACAGATATAAATAACATAAAACTGAGTTGGTATATAACTGAAATAATCTTTGAAAGAATGAAATAAAACAGCAAGACCACTGGAAGCTTTTGTCTCCAGGGTTTGCCTGAAGATTGCAATAAAATACTACATACAATTGGAAAGAAAAAAAAAAGCCATTAGACAAAAACAGTTTGTGAACAGAACTGAAGGATGAACAAATGAAAAATAGAAAGAACAAGCTGGGTGAGTTGAGGCCTCCCACAAAGCAGGGCAGAAAGAGAAACCACACCCTGCAGTTTCTCACACTGTAACACACCTACTCATTCCCTCTCCATTTTTATATGCACTTCCTGTAACAAGAGGCCCCCCCCTTGGTAATAAATTCATTGGACACAAATGATTGCAGTTTAGTCAGTTGAGCACTAGAGGGCAAAACTTTCCACATTATCATACTGATCGTGTGAACCATAGAAAACATCTCTCCACAGCAAAGTCAATTATTACAAAATAAGATTTATAAATATATTTTTTAAAAATCCACTGCAGTAAGTAATACAGAAACTTTTCAAATCCTGAGAAACATTGCTATGTAATATGGGATAACAGGAAATACAATGGATCCTGAGTTAGGACATGTAGTTTGTGTCCCATCTTTTTCATTAATTTAATCCACGTGACAATAACCACAGCTAAGTCACCACTTTGAGTCTCAATTTCCTCATATGAAAATAAAGTGGCCAATTTAGAGAATTTGTAAGTCATCTTCCAGCTCTAACATTCTAAAATACCCTAGAATCATTATTAGGGCCTTTCAAGAATACAGTAAGAATGAAAACCAGAGCCATGCTTTATCCCCATACTTCTTTGAACACTGCATATTTGCTAGATTTGGTATTTCCACATGCTGTCATGCTTTCATGCAAGATATTTTCATTTTCAAAGACAAAGGGTTTCAATACCAGTGAGACAACACTATTAAGCCTTGCTTCAGAGAGATGTGCTTGATTTATGTGCATCATATCCTTGATTTTAGGTCAAAGATACTTTATCAAAGGAAAGGAGCAAGGTTACTAGTGTTCTTACCCTAAATTTTAACCATTAAATAATATATTAAGCTGGACTGTCTTAATCAGAGAGGGAAGGTGGCTATTCCAATTCCCCTAAATAGACACCAGCCTAATGTCCTTTTCAGACCTGTCATATATGGAGTTTTAAGTATATAAATAGGAGCTCTGGTAGCATAGTGGCTAAGGCACTTGACTGCTAACCAGAAGGCTGGCAGTTCAAACCCATCAGCCACTCCTTGGAAGGAAGGTTGTGCAATCTACTTCCGTAGTGATACTGCCTTGGCAACCCAAGGAGGGGTCGCCATGAGTTGGGGCCGACTCGACGGCACATAACAACAACAACAACAAGTATATAAATACCAAACTCATTAAAATAATAATATCTATTAATTATTAATATGACTCAAGTAGCCCACTGCTAAAAAACTAAGCACTTGGAAACATAGCGCTAAGAATTCAAAATCATTAAATAGGAGATTTTAGGAAAGTCACTAACTTACCATCTTAATTTCTTGAATCCAAAAATCACCTACTTTGTGAAGCAGTAAGAATCACAAATTGTAACACACAATGGGAATAAAAGTGTTATTGGAACAAAAGGTCTTTTTAATGATCTATCCATTCCATGGAGCAGAAAATAAACAAACCTTTGCCAAGATGCGTGTTGATGGACATATATCTTGCTGTTCCAGTTAAACTTTTGTGTTCCCTATAAGGTATATGTTTTTTGGTTTCAGGGTCAATGTATTCCTTGGCCAGTCCAAAGTCTATAATGTGTATAACATGTTCTTTCTTATTGCCTTGTCGGCCAATCAGGAAGTTCTCTGGCTTGACATCTCGATAAATGAGATTCTTTGAGTGTACATATTCCATTCGAGAAAGCTGAGAGAGAGAGAAAAAAGTACTCTAAAAAAGTATACTGGAAAAATATATCATGACATTTTCTTTTATTAACTCGAGGTTTTTATTACTGAAATAAAAATTTAATAATTATCTCTTTTTCACCACTCAGAGTCATTTTACTGATTTGTAACCCTAAAATATTTTCTGATACAAATATACACATAACTAGTAAGTTTAGGAAAAGGAAGTGAGAGGGTACAGTTCAGCTAAAATGGTAATACACAATTTATCTCATAATGTCACAATGTGCAAATGATAAATGTAATTGGTTGTTTAATGCTACTTCAGAAGCTAAGCATTTGAAAGGCAAGACTTATTCCAAGGTAGGATAACAGAGTATGTTGATGACCTTTGAGACAAGAGGCACTGTCACATTGACCTCCTGACCACACATCCTTCTCTTCAGTCGGACAGGACTGTCTAACCCAGCTCTCTTTGTTGCAGAAATAAGGAAAGTGAGGCCCAGAAAAGTTAATACTGGCCTGATGTCATACTGCTAGTTAGCAGCAGAGGTAGAGGTGCAGTTTTTATGTTCAATATAACCCAAAACAATAATCATAAAATTATTTCAAACATTACTGAGTCAGGAATGACTCAATGGCAGTGAGTTTGGTTGGGTTTTATCATTAAGTATTTCTATCAACAAAGCTTTTCTACTTAGTATAAAAAGGGAAGTTTGGACAGTTAAATTTTATACTCAAAAGTCAAGTTCAATTTTCTAAAGTTTCCAAGTTTTTACTGGACAGTGAGTGAGACCATTACTACTACTTTTTAACAAACAAAGATGCACTTGCACCCTTCCCCTGAGAGGCCAACAAACTTCTCAAAAGAATTGCCTCAGCTACTCCTTAAGCTGTTGTGTTGTTGTTGTTGTATGCTGTCGAGTTGGACCTGACTCATAGTGACCCCTCCTTGGGTTTCCAAGGCAGTATCACTACGGAGGTAGATTGCCCCATCTTCCTTCTGAGGAGTGGCTGGTGGGTTTGAATCGCCAGCCTTCTGGTTAGCAGTCAAGTGCCTTAGCCACTATGCTACCAGAGCTCCTCCTTAAGCTGTTAGTGGTGTGTAATTTGGTAGGCGCTCAAAGAGCTGCTTCCAGCTGTGTCTCAGTGAGAAGTGGAGGCCAGAGAACAAAGGTAGATTCTTAGCCACACAACTTCTCAATCTGAGTGTTATATCCCAATCTTTTCTTGGATGCAACAGTGAGGGGAGAAGAAGAACAATGACAAAACCTTATAGCTATACATTTAAAACCTATAAATAAAACATCAAAGAAATTACTTGCATTTGTATAACTCTACTCAATCATACTCTTTCTTCCTAATCTAAATTATATGCTTCTACTTCAGTTAAGGTCAGAGTACTGCTCCAAGGTGCAAATTCTTAAAATAGAGCAAACTGCAGATGCAGTATGACTTCTTCGAGTTAACGCTTTTTGCCCTAGCCTGCCTCCTATGATGCCATTAGGACTGTCAACAGCATTCACTAGGTGTCAACACAGATGGGGAATCATCAAAAAGCCCACAAGGATGTGGTTAGGGAACCTGCCCATCTTCTTACAAAGATGCAACACCAACTTACCAACTGGATGGCTATCATTAACACTGTCTTTAAAGTAAAAGTTCGGTCACAGAGGTCAAATAAGTCCTCCAAGCTAGGGCCCAGAAGTTCCAGCACCATGGCATTGTATTTCCCACATGGTCCAAAGTAATATACCTGTGGGAGACCTTCACCTGAAAGCAGAGGGGAAACAGGGTGCAGAGCAGGAGACACAAAAACCAAAATGTGAGATAAGCACATTAGCACTGAGTAGATACAAAGAAAGTGTAATTTTTGAGATTTCCATTTCCTTTCACAGTCCCTACTGGAGAACTTAAACTGAGCACAATAGCTTTAATGGGAATTAATAATGGGTGGGAAAGGCTAAGTCACTGCACAGTATGTTCAAATAAGCAGTTATTTAACACCAGAGTGCCAAAGGCATTTCCACTGCTAAGACAGAAAATGGTCCCTGATCCATTATTGGATTGCAGCATAAACTATTCTTCCCAAAGGATGCCCAAATTGCAATACCATAAAAGGTTCAAAGGATGGTTCACTGAGCTCCAAGACTAGGCTAACAGATCTTGTTGCATTAGCTGGTTTCATTAGTACTCCCTATGCTTACTGCCAAAGCCACATGGAGCAGTTTGCAACTGTTGCCCCACAGAGAATTCAGATTGAAGGGGTGAGGTCACAGAGGGTGCAACGTGGCCCCAGGCCAGCACAACTGGCCCTCTTCTCACAGGGAGTCTCTGCAATTTCCTGTTTTGCATCAGCTGGAAAAAAGCCAACAGACACTCAGGGTTTGGTTGCTGATAAGTAATTGTGACAGGAAAAAGAAAAAACATGTAAGATTTTCCGCAGATTTAAAATTCATAGCTATAAGAAGCCAAAATCTAGGCTTTCTCACCTAAGTGGCAATATGAGTCACTCAGTAAGTATGTGTTAAATGGTACCATGTGAACAACAGATAAAAATGAAACTACAAAACACTTTTTTTTTTTTTTTTTACTATCTGGTCTCATACAGAAACACTTCTATTATACACATTGACGTATATACCATGGTCTAGTTATATATGCTGTGGAACAATGCTGGCTTCTAACACAAAGTATTTCAGACAACAAAGTTCTCTCCATTTTCTTATTCTCTTTTTATCTAGATGGGTGGGATACAGGCAGAGAACGTGTGTATCTAACATTTAAATTTTAACCCAATATGCCCACCTTGCTCTTAAAGCCAAGGTCTTGTATATCTGGACTTAGTACTATCATTACTATAAATATGTGCATATTTAACTATTTCACATACTGTATTAGTCTATCTTGTTCCATCCTAAATTTTTAAAAAAATACATCTATTTATTCCTAGTTCATATCCATCTAATTATAATATGCTGTTTCTGTTAGCTCAATAAATATCCTTTGAATTGTCCCTGTAGTTGGTTTAATTTTCCCAATCTCTAAAAGAAAAGAGGATTTAATTCGAGAGGCCTTTTTTTCCTCTGTTGTTTCGAGGAGCCCAATCTTCAGTTTGTTTAAAATATATAAAACCTAACAGCTGTTCCCAATGAGTCCTAGTGAGAATTCCAAAGCAGAACACTCTACCCTAGAGATTTAGTGCTCTTATTAATCAGATACATGGTAGATGAAGTTTGGGGATCTATCTAATTTATGCCCTACGTAAGTTTTTGATGTCACTAAAACCTGACTTTCCTAGTACAAATAGTATATTCTTCAAAGTAGGTAATGGCAGAGACTATTGATTGCCCAATATCCACTCTCCCTTTCTTCCTTAATAACAGAATCCCCAGTTATTGTGAATAACAACAAATCCAATTATAACTTCCCAGCCTCCCTTTACAAATAGGAACAACCAATGAGATGGAAGCAGAAATTACTGGGTGGGGTGGGTCTGGAAAAGCTCTTTCAAGGAGCCTGACTCAAATGGATTAAGGAGATGGAGAGAAGAACCAAAGTCTCAGATGGCTGTGAAGCAATCACACCAACGTGGGACTTCAGTTCCTCTGGACTTGTTTACCCCAGAAGAAATTCAATCTCTATCTAGACTAAACTACTGTTAATTTGGATTTTTTTTTCCCCCATTCAAACCTAATCCTAATTAATAAACACATTATATTCCTTTAGTCGGTTAACTTGCAAATCTGGGCATAATATCCTCCCTCTTGAAGTACAAGCTAAAAGTCAGGCTTGCTTAGAAATATAATATTGGCAAAATTTCCTAGATTTGCTGCCAAAAGATCTGTTTAAATGAGACAAATGATCTTCTTGTTCTTGAAAATCTTTGGTACCAATCTAGCCATCTCTTGCCAGACTTTTCCATGTTTACAAAGAAGTGACAAAAGCATTTTGGGTGATATCTATAATTTCTAACTACAATGTCACTCAAAACTTCTGCCTGGAACTTCAAAGAAGTGAAGAGTTCCTGCTTGCTACGGTATTGCTCATTTTAAGTATGCTGAGACCTCACAATGCTCTGGCAGTCTATGGGATGCTCAAGACAACTTCAGACCATAGTGTGGCTTTAAAGTGTATCTGGGGGGCTAGGTCCAAGACGTTAATGTAGAAAGAGCTCAAATCAGTGTCTTGGATCTAATATTTAGTTCAGCCACCAACTCTGACAAATTCCTTTACCTGTCTAGGTTAGTTTTTTTCATCTGTAAAAAAATAAATGGTTACCCTAGTGCCTTGTAAGTCCAATATTCTGATTATGGCTAGGATTTCCCTCTGGCTACATTTTAGGGTTCCTTTTTGTAAAGCCACAGAAGTAGTACGAAAGCACTTGCGTATTATGTGGAATATGTGCACTACCAATCAAAGTGTAAGCTGGTAGCATACTCATTCGGAAGTGTGCCTGTTAGAAAACATCTCTAAAACTTTTTAGAAGCAAAAGCAGTGACTTCGCCTCAGACTTAATGAATTACAATTTCTAGGAGTGAACACGAGCATAGCTCCATAGGAGATTCTGATATGCAACCTGAGCTGGGAAATACTGTATCTAGAGGGTAAAAAATAAAGGGCATTGCTTTGTTTTATGACTAATAGATATGAGGACTTAAAAAACAGTGACAGACCTCTCTTGCAGACATTCTTTCAGATCAGAACAACTGGACTCAGTATCTTGTGAAGGGAATCATTTTATGGCTAGTTAAAAGCCTCATCTATTTAAAGTTTCTCTAAAAAATGTGTTGCTAAATATAAGTCTCTTTGGGAGATGTAGCTATCATTTATTAGAAGTATCTCTACAGAACAATGCCCACACAAGTTCCATTCTGTGCCTGGTTTTCCCATGACTGCCCATAAGGTGGCCAGTGCTTGGGGTAAAAGACATAGACACTGGCCCATTAAGAAACTTTGCCTCTTTGATCAGAGATTACTATACACTAATGATTTATAATTAAGTAAGATTTAAGTCAGAAATCTTATTAATATTTGATTCTTCCTTTACAGAACCATTACTAATCCACTGCTTAAGAAATTTTTAATTAATCAACATTATACTGTATTATTCTTTAATAAGACTAGGGATAAGGGCAGAGCCTCAAATGCAACATAAGCTAGACATGTGGTAAACAAGGTACTTCCTGTAAGTAAATGAAGTAATAGGAATGGGGTGGGAGAGTTAGGCAAAGTAGAAATGCACTAGATTCTTTGATTCATGGTATATCAGAAACTAAGGTAGTTTATTAGATTTACTTCCTCATTTTTTACTTTTTTTTTTTTTTTTGCAGTATCCCCTCCTCTCCCCTTCCACCCCTGGTAACCAACAAAATTTCCTTCCATATATAAACCTTTCCTAGACTTTTTTTCAGTAATGAACTAATATAGTATTTGTCCCTCTGTGATTGACTTATTTCACTCACTAATGTCCTCAAAGTTCATCCACATTTTGCGGTGTTTTGCAAATTCTACATTATTCTTTAGTGTTGCATAGTAGTCCATTGTGTGTATGTACCATAGTTTGGTTATCCATTTGTTCTGGTTACCTAATGCCGCTCTGATAGGAATATACCACAAATGGGATGGCTTGAATAAACAGGGGTTTATTTTCTTACCATTCTGGAGGCTAGGAGTCCGAGTTCAAAGTGCTGGGGTCTAGGGGTTAGGTAAAAGCCCCTCGCAACCTTGGGCTGCAGCTCTGCCTCTTGCTCCCAGCCCATTGAAGCTGGAGGCTTTCTTCACTCAGGCAGCTTCTGGCTGCTGAAGCTGACAAACCCAAGGTCGACAAGTAGAAAGACATAGTCCCAATGTTACCAAACCACATGGCAGGCCATTATTCAAGTCCACTGAAAGTCTCAAGATCAGCAAAGCATGGCAGGCTACTGAATGAAGGCTCAGGCTATGTGCAGGGTTCAAGTGTGCCAAATAGCTAGAGACCTTCCTCAAAGCTGCTTCTTACACACTGGCAGCAGCCCACATCCCTAAAGCAGTTACTCAGCTGCTCCAGTAGACTCCACCATGGAAATAATTGTCAGTCTCATCATGGGGAATAACTACATCCAGCTTCCCAGCCACTCAACCAGGTCCAGCCAAGTTGACAACCTTAACACCACCATTCTTCTGTTGATGGGCACCAAGGTTGAGAAACTAGTTTTGTATCTCTCATCTACTCTAGAAACAAAGCACTAAGGAGGGTCTGCGTCCTAAACTAGTCAACTACATAAATGCCTGGAAATTGAAAGAGTACTGAAGTTTCTCCTGAAAGATTTCCAATATATTCCACTTTATTTCCATCAGCCATAGGTTAAATCTCTTACAAACCAAAGATGCAAGGTTATATGTACATAGCACATGTTATCTTGTATATTTTCCCTGGGTACTATGAAACAGCTTTTCTAGTCATAATTAATGTATTCTTTTAAGCCCTGCTGGACATATGGCTCATACATATATCAAGTTGCACACAACAGGAAGTGAGGTATACAACACTACAGCTTTCAGTATGTCATAAATTCAACTTGGGTTAAACACAACAAATCACAGATAATGGCTTCTTTATCATCCAAGCTGTTACCTAAAAATATTCCATAATGTATTATGAAAGTAACTAAATAGAGATATTTTTAAATGCACATCAGGCTGAGAACTGAAATAGAACCACCTAGAAGCTTTTAGTAATTTGATCATATTATTGTCTAATAATTTGCCTGCTTTCATTCTTTGCAAAAAAC